TTGGTTTTCATTAACTTTGAACTACACATTTTGACTAATCGATATGTCATTCTGTCTGTGAAAATGAGTGAAAAATGTAGAAGTAGTAGTTTTTTTGTTTGAGATCTTCCGTTTAATTTGAATACATTAAAGATTGTTTAAATACATACTTGATAAGTTTTCAAATTGAATTTTCTTTAAAACAAAGCGTGTTAAAGTCATATTCTAGTTATATATTAGCGTGGAAAAGTTATATTCTGCGAATTAGTTAAATTCAAATAGTAGGTGTAATTGATAAATATAATTTCAAATATAATTTTTCGAAAACGAAATTTAAAATAAAAAAATTTTATTATTTACTTTCGATTTATTTTTGCATATGGTATTACTCCTTTTTTGGTTATACCTTTAACACTAACCGTCCCGCATACTTTACATATATTTATTCATTTGACCAATTACGAAATAAACATTTTTTTTTTTTAAGAAATACAGATTTTCAATTTATTGCAGAAAATAATGCACAATATAACTTTTAAATAATAACAAAATAATCATATATTTTTATTTTTATATTTAACATAAGTAGGGAATGATAAAAGCACAGTTTATTTGAGTTAAAGATAAATGTTTTAGTTTTGCATTTTTTTTAGACGATGAGTTTCTTCTTCATACACTTTCTGCATATGTTTTACAAATCATGCAAGATTTAGTTGTTTCATCATCTTTGTAAAATCCTATTTGGCATGTTTTTCGCGAGTGTGGATGTTTCTTGTACGTTTTCTTCTTTTTTTCTCGGAACAATTTTTGATAATCTCTTCTGTTGGTTGAAATAAAAATTCTTGTTTACTTATTCTACTAAATAAAAATACTTGTTAACTAGACATATATTTTGTCTAGTTATTTCCTTATAATGAATTCACACATTATTGGCCAAATGAAGGATGTCGAAGAAAACTTGGATATGTCATCTATATGATTTTGATTTTACGCTGTACTTTTTTACTATTTGATCAATCATGACGATGCCGAATTTAGTATTATTGTAGTATGTTATTTCAGATATTTGCTTTATACTGTTTTCGATTTTTACGTATTTATGCTTTGAACTTAATATCACAACTTTTATTCGTTGATTTAGTTTCATAAATTATCAGATCAATCAATCATAAATCAAATGATTTGTAAACTACCATCGGAAAATATATCATATCATTCTTTCTCACTTTTGCAAATTTTTTTAATTCTCTTTTGTTACTCCGGATAATTCCTAATATCATTCCTTTTTTTAGAAGTCGCCAGTAGCCATTCATTTATAACTGTTCATATCTTAGTTGAGTTTAGAACTAAGGTTCCAGACAAAGAATTTTATAAAAACATGTAAATTTGTTGACGTAGTAAACAAATCAGACAATGAAAATTTTCTCAACAAAAAAAGAAGCAAAAAGAAAAAGAAAAATTGAAAACTAATTAATCAGATAATAATTTTCATAAAGTTAAATGAACAAAAGAAAAACAATGGACATATAATTTTAAATTAACTTTTGAAACCAGTCATTTGACTGGTTAGTATTAATAGCGAGACATCTTGTATATAGATATGAAAGTAGCATTTATTTTGGCAATAGATGAATTGAAATTATCATTGATTCGCTATTAATAAAAACCTATTATTGATTTCTGTCATTTTCTGAATAGTGTGTAAAAGAGTATTCTAACACTTGAGGTCATATATTTGATTAACGACCTGATCGACATTTCTCAAGAAAATACCTTGATATTATTGAACCAGATGACCTATTTGATAAATCTTTCTTATGATTATTTCGAGACATCATGGACCAAAAACCAAATATACGTTTGTTAATAGATATACATATGATCGATAATGAACAGCAGTTTGAAGATAGGTTTGTACAGCAGATTTTTTTTTTAATGTCATTAACTGTTGCGAAATCCCTTCGAAAGTTCACAAAAATTGGTCGTTTCCTTTCTACAATTTATATATATTTAAAAACGAATAAATAATCATGAAGAAAAATTTTAACACGAAACATAATACGTAATAATTATTTTATCATATCTTTTATAATAATTTTTTACTGTAAAGATATTAAATAAATATTGTTTATATATTATTGTAAATTAATTATCGATAATTCTGTCACTAATATTTTTATTTATAAATAATATATTTTATAAATGATATATTAAATAATATATTAATAAATTAATGAACTAATATAAGTTATAAATAATACATTAAATTATCTCGAGTCTTAAGTAAAGAATCTTCTAGGAATCATTCCTTCAATTACAAAAATCGACTTGTGATTCAGTCGATTGCATGAATATATTTAATACTAATCGAGTTGAATAAAATTGATAGTGTACTTTTTTCGGTCGAATCTTCTCCTCGCTCGATAAATATTTCAAACTTCTATCAAAGAATTGTAAGCTTCTACCAAATTATCGTGGGAACACAACCACTCTGAAGAAGAAAAGATACCGCGAAAAGTATGCCGTTCAATTTAATGGCTATTGCAAATAGAGATTGAAGTTAATGACAGTATTAAGATTACATAATCCAATATAAAACATATTTAAATCTGCAGTTTCATACGGTAGTTGCTGTTTTTGTATATATAGTCAGATGTCTCTTAAAAACAACATAAATGACATATGATGTTTATTTAGGTATTAAAGAAAAAGGAAGGAACGATGATCAAAGGGGATAACTCTAATAACAGGAACAGCAACAAGCTCCCTTTTATATGGGAGAGAAGGTGCGCTTCAGGTGCGTGATGTTGGGATCGATATTGCAAGCGACTCCCTGGGCCATGACATGCCCCTGCGTCAGCCATCGGCTGCACGCGATCGTGCTAAAATTAAATGATGAAACTCATTTCTTCATTTTTCCTCCCGATCGTTTCTATTAGTTCCTCTTCTTTTTTCGTCTTATTAACGCTATCTTTCTCCTGTTTTTGTCTGTTATTTATTTTATATTTATTTCCCTCATTCATTCTGCTTTATACACGTCATTTCTTCTTTATTTTTTCTTCATTTAGCTCCTTTTCGCTCTGGCTGTATCGTATCATCGTTAGTTCTTTCCTTATCTATTTTCTTTTACATTTCAGTTCTCCTATTCATTTTCCTTTCACTATTTTATTCTTCCATCTATTATTGTTTTCTGCCTTTTTAAATTTGTATGTCTAAATTTTATTTATTGTCTTTTTATTTATTTTCTAAAAAAAAAAACAGATATTTTCTTTGATTTTTGCATTTTCCTTCCATTTGTTTTTTCCTTCCTCCATTACTTGATTCCCCCTCTTCTATAGTGTAACGTCCGTGTAACGAAACATGTATGGCATTTTATCAATGACGTAACATGGGCATTTTATTCAGAAAATGGTGCGTAATCATCCTTGAAGTAATCTGTAATGTATGTATGTATACTTTAAATAGTATTTGCATCCCCTAGCTGTGTACAGTAATTATTTTTTAAAGGAGAGATTTTAATTAAAAATTGTGCAAAACAAACATCTATTCTATTAAATAAATAAACTTGCACGGATAATGGTAATCATAGGAGAAAAATTTTTCATTTGATAAGAAATATTTGTGAGATAATAAATACTTCAAGTTATAAACTATTCTTCCATTCATGAAGTATTTACGAAATGAGGTTAGAATATCAAAAATCAAATTTCTTGTCAATTTTTTACGATTAAATATTGCAATATAATTGGTTGATTGCTGCCTAGTCGTAAATCAGCATTTGTTAATATGTTACTGTTAATCACGTTGATAGTAACACAAACAGCTTCGTTTATATCTTGAAATATTATCTAATTCTGATAATATCAAGCGACCGAAATTTTTTCAATACTAAAGTCAAATGGGAATACTTAAGAAAAGATAATAGATGATGGAATTTTGCAACTGAAATTTTATTTTTCCAAAGAATTATATTTACAGCTCAAGGAATTATAAGTAATATTTATAAATTTACATCTAATATAGTAGGTACTGACAATACGGGTGATTCCTTCAGGTCAAATCAATTAACCCTGCGAAAATGCATCGGTTGCACGCGATATGGCTAAATTTAAACTAGGCAGCTCCTTGGCACCTGCATGTTCATCTCTGCGTGATATACAC